TATTCTCCAGATTCTGGTTTGCAACGACTTAAAGGAAACTGAGCCCTTGTGTTCTTGTATGTAATCAGTTTTCAGTGGCAACATACTTCATTTGGTGAATTTTGACCATACAGTGAAGATACCATGCAGGTCTCTGCAGATTAGGACTCTATTTCCAATTACATTGCCAATTTTCACTGCAATTTGGGGCGAGTCACTGGCCTTTCTGTACTTCATTGCCCCCAACTCTTGTCAGAAGGGATAACACTGACTGGTTTACATGTTAAGCATTATGGTGCTGCAGCTCCATTTGCAGGGTAGAGTCTGTAATGATAGAGGAAAATAAGAGTGGTGGTACAGACAGGCTGTCTGCATTTTGCCTTTGTGCCAGGGTACAATAGATATTTCTGAGGCAGAGATCACTTAGTGTCCTCTCACAGAACTCTGTATGCAATGAGGCTGCAGTCTGTAACTCAGCACCAAAGTGAGCAACAGGAGCCCAGAGATAACACAAGGCAGGAACAGCAGTGGTCTCCATTCTTGCCTTCTCCCCACATGGCCAGGGCCCATGGCGCTCTGCATTGCAAAGACAAATGACAAATTTGTTCAGCACCTGGCTGCAATGAATGTGATTAGTCTTTAATTAATATTAATTAAAGCATGAAGCATGCATGAGCATGAAGGAGATTCATAAATTAAATGGAAAAGACTGTTGTCTTGAGAATTTGTATCCTGGTAGGACCTGTGTAGCAGGTTGGAAGCCATCTACAGCAAGGTTACACTCAGTACCTGAGTGGATTGTGGATGCATGTCAGATGTGGAATGTTCTCCCAAAAGACAAACACAATGTGAACAATCCTTTTTACTGGCAAATGTCATCTGTTAGATATCAGCCTAATTTTCTCCAGTGACACAAAGCAGACTTCACCCTCGCTGTGTTGAGCATTTAGTTTGGCTGTGTGCAACCTAGGGCTCTGGCTCAGCTACTCCTTCAGGCTGCGTGTTGACACACACTGGGGAGCTGGAGTCTCCAAGGCGTTTAAGCAAGATTGTATCATGGTGCAGCCATTTCTTTCGCTTCTCCCTACTGAGTAACATCCTCCTACTCCTTGAAAGTATGGTAGAAATATGTTGCTTGAAGAGTTTACTCATTTTGTTACTATTCCTTGCTGTCTGGTTGTGCTGACAGACCAGGAAGGGCTTAGAAAAGGACATTAGGAGAATGATCAGAGATCGGAGACTTTACTCACATAAGCTCAGTCTAGTTAGTTTATCCAATACCAAGACCTAATGATTCCTAGATGTACTTTGAATGAAGAGCTTTTTGATTAGCGGATAGTTTTTTCCTGTCCTAGGAAAAGGCTGGACAAAATAGGAAATGAGGATTTTGTTTGGGTATTTTAATTTTGTTTCTATTTTGTTTTGTTTGCTTTTTTCCTCCCTTAAATTTTAAGAGTGATTAACTACTGCTTTCCTGGTATGTGGTAAGGTCTTCATAATTTTCAGTCTTTTGAACTTAAGCTTTTCTTTCAGGAGTCAGGAGAGGGTTTTATGGCCTGTGGTTGTAGGAGCTCATGGTCAAGCAGACTTGATTCTTCCAATTGTATGTGATTGGATGCAATGACTTTTCTGGTCGCTTCTAGCACAGTATTCCTGTCCCCGTCTCTTCCAAAAAAACCCCATCCTTTGATTTTCAGGAATGAAAGTTTGAGTGAAGCAACCACTATCCTTAGATTTTCCAGTATAAGAGCTCAGATATCCACAGTACTTCCACATGGCCATAAATCTGCAGCTGTACAAACTTGTCTTGATAAATGGTAGAAACTGTCTTTCACTGAAGAAGCTCCAGACCCCTCTCTTTACCAACAAGATTTTGCCAAGAAGTCTCTTGGTGAGACGGTGCTGTATGTAAGCAGGCTTTGGAAATCTTCCAGATACATTCCACAATGTACACAGGATAGACAGGGCTGAAATCTCATCTAGTGTGTGTGTCCTGGAATTACTACTCGTCCCTCTTTATAATAAATGAGTATTGTTTGGCTATAATCTTTCTAAGCTGTAATGCAGTGGCATCCTGGAGTGCAAGAGTCCTATCTTAGATGACTACATTCAGAACATACCCTAGGGACTGTTAGAGAAATTTATAATTGTCCTTTTAGAATCCCAGGATTAAATTCTAAGTGGCAAGCAAATAAATAAACAATGTTTCTCCCTAATGCCTATTTGTTTACTGTAGATCAATGGAACATTCAAGGATGAAATTGGTTTTCTCAGAGGATTAAAGATATATTTAAAATAGGCTTTATTATGAGAATTAATAGTGTGGATTCTGGAGGGGTGAAGGGTTAGTGTGTGCCAGGTTATCAGAAACTGTTCCATTCTGGAAGAGCTATTTAGGGAGAGCAGAAGAGAAATTCAGTTAAAGAACACCTAATTTTGGTTCATCAGTTTGACATGCTGCTAAAAGAAGTCTCTAAAATTGCCTACTTTTGCTGGGAACTGGGCAAACAGTGTGGAAATACATTGATATGTGACATGTGGGCCAACAGATGGGATTGCAGTACCTGTTCGGGGCAGGACCTGTTGTTTGCCCTCTTTTTGTGCCTGGTCCAGAAGAGCAGATGACATCTGTGTGCATAGAGATGACCTCGGCAGCTGCAGAGGGGCACCTGGACTGCACCTCACTCCTACCTCCTTGGACCAAAATACACCTGGACACGGGGCAGGTTCCTCCTGCTGTTGGACTGGCTGTGATAATTGATGCTATTTTCCTTTTCTAGTTTTTACTGGGCTCCTCATCTGTCTGAGTTTGGAAGGATTCTTTTGATTCTATATTGCCAAAAGGAAAAAGAACAGCAGCAGCAGAGAGTCCAGGGCTAAAGTGCAGCACTTGGAGTGCTGTGGATTGGGGAACTGTTTGTTGCCACCTCATAAAAAAGCCCTACAGCACTCTTTTTTCATCTTTGGGAGAAAAAAACACAAAGCAAAAACACTGAAAAAACAATGTTAGCAACTATGGAATGAAAGAACAGCCCATGCAGTCTGTAAGAGCAGAGTTGTTAGACCACAACCTCAGTAAGTGCCCAGGCGAACAAAAGACCTGTGAAAGGAAAATATAATATTGAAAATATATTGTGTTTGTATAGATGTTTTCTTCCCTCTCTTTCTGGTTGTTATTCTCTGCGGTTTCTGAGTGAGCTGCAGTGTTGTCAAAGACTGACAATACTGCAGCTCTGTTGACCAAGATGTAGATTTCAATGTAGCCTCTACTGATGAGAGAAAGAAGTGTATTCTGCATTGAACACATGGAATCTGTAAGAGTGTGTGTAGATTCTCAAAGAGTCTTCTATGTGCTGCATGTATCTTCTCTATCCTTACAATTTTTTGTACTGTTTTTCCTATATATGTATTTTTTTTTTATTTAGTTCCATTTCTGCTGCAAGCTTTACCAAAGCTGTTAGTTTCTCTGACATGATGGTGGTGACACCTGAATGTTTCACTTTCAGGGCTGTAAAATCCTCCTTTTGAAGATGTGTCTATACTATTTCTTTCTAGTGCACAGGAAGTGGAATATACACCTGGAACTCTTGTGCTTCCAAGATAGAGGAGAGCCTGTTACAACACATGAGAGACTGTAACAACACATGAACAATGGCAGGACATGAGGGAAAGTTCCTTTTGATTAATTTTTTAGCACAGTCTTTTTTTTTCTGAGTTAAAACTTGTGTTCCACAGGAGGCAATGATTCCTGCAAGGCAGCTGTGTGCCACTCCAGCCAGGCAATGCAAAAGAGTAAAATGTTATTTGGTATCTGTGACTCACAGGCTTCATGTGCAAGAGGGGGATGGCAGTGATCAAAGCAACTATGAGAAAGAATAACTGGGGCATTTGGTTAATGATAGCTGAAATCTGAAGAGGAGGGATGGCAACATATTTGAGTACTAGATAGTGAACAGGAGCCTGAAGGAATGTGGAAGATATGTACAGTGGCAAAAAGAGACACTGCAGGTCTATAAATGATGCAGGAAATTGTGAAAGCTAAGATACTGTTGGGGGACTGATTATATATAAGTGATGGACTTAAAAATTCTTACAGGTGTCTGGAGAGGTTATATGAAAAAGAAAATCTGCACAATGGGACTAAAAGGCATTGCTAATTGATAACGATAGACTCTGCTTTTGAAAGGCCATGAGAATTTTAAATGATTGGAGGGATGATTGTGGGCTTTGCAAATGAACTCTTTGTGTTGGGGGGAGGTGAAATATTCCTCTACACTTTGTTGGAGGACTGGAGTTTTGGGGTTGTTGTTAGGGAAATGCTTATGGCTGTAAATTGCATTTTTTTAAACTCTCTTTAATTTAAAAAGCCTTTGTCCCATTTGCTGTATTAGTCTTACAGTTCTTGCTTTAGGCTTATATTAAAAGTTGGCTTTCTCAGCTGGAGGAAAACTAGGGGATAGGTCAGATGCTAATTAATTTCATGCTAATTGTACCATAATTTGAAATCCTGTGGATTAGTTTTCTGTGGGAGAGCTGAAATATATGGAAAGACAAAAATGAATAAGGATAATTAATCCCTGTAAAATTGCTGGGATGCTTTAAGAAAAGAGGGTTTGTTTGTTGCTTTTATTTTTTGTTTGAAGTGTTTTAAAGGCGCCTGTGCTGTGGGTTGTATGGAAGATTCATTTCTGCTGGAAAACAAGTTTTTGTTCCTGAAACACCTAGAAGAAATACCTCAGTGGCTAGCTAATCTCTTGCTGAGGGCTCCCTCCTCACGGGATGAGTGTTTGGATTTGGACAGAGCTCCTGTTTCCCCACCATGGGAAGGTAGTCCAGACTTCTGAGCTGAGTGCCTGGGAGAGAGAAAGCAGTACTTGTCATAGGATCACAGGGTGCTAGGTTGGAAGGGTACTTTGAGAATCACCGGGCCCAAAGTTTCTGGCAAAAGCACAGTCTAAACTAGGTGGCCCAGCACCCTGTCCAGCTGAATCTTGTAAGTTGTCTATTTATTTCTTTTCTAGAAGCCGACAAGGCTGGAATGGACAAGGGATGGATGCCAACCACTTCTCGCTCTCTGCATTTCCCTCCTGCCGAGTCTCCAGTGGCTGGTTGGAGAGCTTGACTTGGAGCCAGACTGGGGGGAGTAATTTACTGCTGGCCTCTAATGGCTATAAATTACTACATGCCCTGGGGAATTGCAGCTATAAAGGTAGGGCTGTGACTCAGAGCTGGGTTCCATGCTCACCACCTCTAACGTCTTTCTCTTACACGTGGAGCACCAAGCTATGACTGACCTAAAAAAAAACCCCTTCCCTGTGTTTCCAGGCTGGTCCCATACAAAATGTTGCTAATTATTGGAGTTTTCTCCATATGTATTGTCAGTCTACTGAGGTTCAGCAATGTAATTCTGAACCTCTGGGGAGCAGTGACTTCCTGAGAAATCATCTCTTGTTCTGAAATCCAAGGAGCTCCAGCTCAATGAGGAGATGGAGGGGAATGGCACAGGTTTCACCACTGAACTTTTGTTTTGCTTTCTGCTTATGAACACCATACAGAACTTCAAATAACATTACTAAGCAAAAAGCTTTATGATTAATTATGCCTGGTGCAGGTATAATTTAAACATATTGACTTGTCTGAAGTAAGTGCCAGACGGTGCAATAGGGGAGACAGGAAGTGGCTGGTCAAGATTGCTGAACCAAGCTGGAATAAGAAGTCAGGGAGAGGAAGCGCATCATCATTTAACTTTGCTTGGCAGCTCAGCAGAAAACTGATGCAATTGCTGATGGACACTGATATCAAAGGGAGAAAAATCATGACAAATTCTTTGTGCTTTTAAAATTAATGTAAAGCTAATCAATAGCTTGACTTGGTGCAATATAAAAATGTAGTACTGGGACCTCCATTAAAATGATTTTTCTTTAAACCTGTATTCTGGGATTGCTATTAGAGAGGCTTTAGAGATAATAACGGCAGTTAAAAGAGAGCTTTCCAATTCCCACCAGGTTGTTGCATTTCACAGCAACTAGTCTGTAGCTGTGCTGGGAACTAGGTAATGTCAGCCCTTGAAAGATTATGTTTTCTTTAGAGTTTTTTCTTTACAGGCCAGTGGGTCCCTAGGAATATTTAAGATAGCACATAATGGGGTCAGGAATGGAGAGAAAAAGAAACCATTTGACTGTACTATACTCAGTGTGCTAAAAGAGACCTTGGCTTTTTTTTTCCACACCCTCCCCCCCCTCAACTCTCTCCAGAAAACTGTGACCATATGTGAATCCATGAGCCACAATTCAGAATCCAATCAGCTGCCTTAGGTTTCTGATAAGAGATCATATTGTAGTGAGGGCTCTCTTGCCTTTGATAACCCTTGCGTCTAAAACCAGAATATGTGTATTTTTCTCAACTCAGTGGGGGTGTTTTATCACCCTGTGCTCACATTCTTCACTCTCTCACTCAAGCTGGTCATAGCTGTTTAATGGTTATCACTGTGCCATCTGTAAAAGTGTTACATGGTTCTCTGCAGTCCTGCTCAGAGACGTCTATTCCTCCTAAATCGTGTCTCTGTGGGTGCTGGTCACAGAAACTCAGCACTCCTGGAGCCGACTGGTGATTCATACCTGCAGAGTTCCCTGATGCTGGCTGTGCTGAAGCCAGAGGTAAGCCCAACGCATTTCTCCCTCCTCCTGCCCTGAAATACGCTGGACGCCGTGAAATCGCAGCTATGCAAAATGTTTGCACAAAGAGTGAATGTTGTGCAACTAGGTGAAATTTGCATAGTGTGGTTTTGGAAATGGTTTTTTTTGTCTATGCAGGGCACTATTCCAGGTGTTCTGGTTTTACTTTTCTTGTGTGAGTAGCCTCTGCTCTGAGAGAGCTGCAGTATTTGCTGGACATACCTTTAGGGTTCATCAGGTTTGCCTCTTATATCACCTCAAATATGTGCTGAGCTTCCCTGTAACCTCAGCTTCCCTGTGCTGCTCTTCGGAGTCCTGTAGAATTTGCCAAGGCTGAGTCATGGTTCTGTGGCAGCTTCTCCACTTCATTTTTCAGAGATTCCAGAGGAGATGATTTTGTGATTATTCTCAGCAGATGTCGCCAGTATCTCTGTGGGTGAGATAAAGATGCAAAATGATTTGGTGTTGCATGCTGGCCTTCTCCTGAGTTAGTCCTGGAAGCTTTGTGATGGTAAGTTACAACTTCATCAGGAATGCTTACAGTTTAACTTCACTGCTCTTCCCTTTTGACAGCAGTGGTCACAAATATGATGTCTCCATAAATCTGCTACTCAGGCCATGGCATTGATAATAACCCATTATATGAGGCTGAAGCGAGTCTAAAGAATTGCCTTGGTGTGACTCTTAAACATGGCATAGGATTTTTGATTCCACTCTTAGGATTTCATTTACATAGGTGGGGACATGGGAATGAAGGAAGCCTCCAAAGCTTAACATGAGCATCTGGATGGGATGGTAATGAAGTTTCACTGTGGGAGAGATTTTGAAGGCATGGAGATGGCATTGTGAGTTGCTCTGAAAGCTGCCAATTGTTGTCAGTATGTTGACAATTATTTTCAATTTGTTTTGTTTTGGTTTTTAATTGTGAAAATGTTCCCAGAAGCTTAGTAAATGAGGACATGTTCTTATAAATATTGAGCTAAAATGTAAAAGCTCACATGGCCCAGCTTTGGTTATGAAACCTACTTCTTGCAGTTGGTGTCATTCTGCCCCTTGAAGGCCTGTGTTCAGAAGTGGTGCCTCTAGTTGTAGGATGAGGGTATTTATCTCAGCCTACAATGAGACAATGCTTAGAGTATGCTTCTTTTAAGCTGCACATGCAGCCTTACAAATGGATTTAATCCCACTCCAGCACATGGCTTTGTTTGTGGACGTAGGATGCCAGGAAATAACAATATATTCTGTATGATATTTATAAGCTGCATGCAAAACTGCTGAACCAAAAACCTAGTCTTCAAAAATTAAGATCAGGATTGTGTTTGCAGACATGTTTTGTAGTTAGTTTTCTTTCATCCCTTAGATATTTTCTTTTTCAAAGATGATGGAGGTTGTTGAAACTTCTGGTTGTTCATTGAATTCAAAAATTGTTTATGAAATACCACCTCGAGTGGGTCTAAGAGATTTCTTCCTACTTTTGTGCATGACCAAGATCAAAATCAAGTGACTTCCTCACAGTTGTTTAAGTAGCTATTCCCAATAGTGTAGTGGGGACATGGCAGATCTGGGTAGCCATCCCAAAGCCAGTTTCTGAAAGCCAAGTGTGCTCTGACTAGGGCTGAAAAAAATGGAAGGATTTTAGCTTTCTGCTCACATATTTACATGAGTCTTATGGAAAATGTGTAACTTGTACCCTTATGTTATTTACCTACTAATAACATCTCTGTTCTTGCCTATACAGCAAAAGACAAAATAATGAGCAATGAGTGGACTGGAGGCCTGAATTCCACTTGATTTCTTGATAGCTCCAATGAGCCCTCCAAATGAGTACTTCAAATGAGTACTGCTTAGAGAGTATGTTATCCCTCACTGTGAACATAAGTGGCAGAATTTAGCTCTTTTGTTTCTGAAAACCAATGTTTCTGATTCTATGCATTTTAATTCTGCAAACTGTTTATCATGGCTAAAGAAATTAAACTTGCAAGGATGTAAGTTTTGCTTTGCTGCTGACAAACCTGCTCCTACAAATACTTTTTTATTGCAAAAATAACCCCTGCTGACTTGTGCAAAGCAACACCTTGATTTATACCCGTCCAAGATTCAAAGCATTCAAACTCATCTGTCAGAAGGAAATATAGAGAGGTTATTAGGAATTCCTCTCTTTATGGGCTTTTCCATGTCTTCTGTGGTCCGTCTGTGAAATGGACCATAAGAAGGAAGCATAGGGAGTGGGAGATCAGCATAGTGGGAAGACAAAAACAATGAAACCTCAATGAATTGATGATGAAAGGAAGGGAGACAAAAAGACTCCAAAGTGAGCTGTGGGTGAGCTGGGGGAAAAGAAAGGAGAACATAGTGTCTGAATGCCCAGAGGAAAAGAAGGGGCCACAGAACTGTTGGCCAGTTAAGCAAAAATGAAGAAACGAATGAATGGGGAGAACAGCAATAAGCTGATGCAGTTAGCAATAAGTTTTCTGCATGCAGAATTAGAAACAGAGTTTGTAGAGAGGAAAGGAATACATTTTGCCTGTTGTGTTTTTATTGAGTAGGACCTTGTCCTGTTTTCGGCTGGGATACAGGTAATTTTTCTCTTAGCAGCTGGTACACAGCTATGTTTTGGGTTTGGGGTGAGAACAGTGTTAATGCACTGATGTTTTGGTTGTTGCTGAGCACTGCTTGCCCTAAGTCAAGGATTTCTCAGTGTCTCCTACTCAGCCAGCAAGGAGCAGCATAAGAAGCCATGAGGGAGCACGGCCGGGACATCTGACCAGAACTGGCCAGAGGGATATTCCACACCACAGAGCTTCGTGCCCAGTACACGAACTGGGGGAAGCTGGCTGGCAAGGGCTGACCACTGCCTGGGTTTTGGTCAGTGAGTGGTGAGAAATTGTGCTGTGCATCACTTGTCTATCTTGTTTTTTTAAACTTCTCTCTCCTTTTTTATGACAATAATATCATTATTATTATTATTAGTGGTAGCATTAGGTTTGGGGGGGGGGTTAAACTCTGTTTTAATATTAAACTCTTCTTATCTCAATGCATGTGTTTTCCTTTTTTTTTTTTCTTTCCTTAATTCTCCCCGCCCCACTGGGGGAGGGAGTGAGCAAGCAGCTGCTTTGGGACTTAGCTGCTGGCTGGGGTTAAACCATGACAGACCTTAATCTCTGAATGGTTTACCTGTCTTAGTGGACCAACTGGAGAAATTGGGTGTGATGCAGACTGAATGAGAGGGACAGCATCTGGCTCTAAATTTGCTGTACTCCTTCTGCTTCATGTCAATGCCACGGAATAAAGTTTTGTATTAGGGAAATTGGAACCTCCATTAAAAATGTATATCATGTTAGGTGATATATTACTCGTCCAAACCCTGGTCGTGAACATCCAAAAATAGCTTGCTGTGGACATATAAGGCAGGTCATAGACTCTAGTGAACAATATTTAGTGTTCCATGGGGATGGGGAGAAATGCTCTAATGAAATCACCAGCCTTGAACTAAGCTGCTTTTCTTAGGTGGCTCCCCCAGACCTCAGTAAAAACGTGTCTGTGCAGGTTCAGCCAAGCTGCCTGTTGAATAGTTTGGCCAAATGCAGGAAGCAAGATCTTTGACCTTCTGCAGTGTCCTCATTGTAGACGCATGCATATAATTTCCAGTAATTTAACAGGAGCTTTAGTTTGAAAAAGATTTGGGTTTTATTACTTTCATTCATCATCATTAACTCATGCCATGTGGCGGAGAGGAGGGAATGACATATTTCCGCAATTAGATTCAGTATTTTGCATGAAAAAATGAGCTGTTACAGCAAATGCTTCTTTTGAAATAGGGACTAAAACCAACGGAAACAAAAGTTGTGATGTGTGCGTGGAAGACAAGAGTTAAAAAAGGATATTTTTACTATGAAGTCTTCTTTAAGTTGTGGTTAGAAATGATTTAACATTATAACCTGTTCCTACTGTGTACTTGGCTTATGCTCAAAAAATGTTTTCATCCAGTACCTTGATGCACTTCTAATTTGTCTGTTACAAATGTGTTCTATTTCTGCTTACTCTTAAAAGTGCACTGACTTCGTCTGCTGAAAGTACCTTTGTATAGGGCTGCTTCAGTGTGCAGGGGGAGTGTGAAATTGCATTTGATTTTAAGTTTGTGTGGGTTTGCTTTGCTTGAATTTTGATTTAGCTGAGCCCAACAACTTAACACAAAACACAGGTAGAAAAATCATATTTCCTATGGTACGGAATGCAAAAGGGATTAGTTCTTTAGAGTGGCTTGCTTTTGGGCTGAGGTGCACTTCAAGCATTTTGCTACACTTTATTTTTTAACCCTTTGCTGGGCAAGGGCCTGATCCTGTTCTCCATTTAGTCAAAGGGAAATTTCCCATCATGGGAACAACATGGGGCCTGACGTAGGTACTGAAACTCAAAACTGGGCAAGTTTTATGTGGTTGAATGTTCCTGCCAGCATTCCTCACGACTGTGTGTGACACATGCTCCCTTGATAATCTAATGAAGAATATGTGTGGAGCCAAGCATATATTTTATTTCACAGAGCCGGCTGCATTTTCAGTAATTTGCCTTTTCTCCTTGTATGCATCTCATTCTTGTGGATGTTCACATGAGCCAGTACTCCTGATAGTTTTTCTGCTTTCCTTCTTAGAATGTTGGTTTTCTTTTCTGCATGTTCAATTACATGTGCACATTCATCTATCATTAGTTCCTCTCCACTGGAGGATATTTTGCAGAGCTCTTTATGCAGCATTCATAATATTCTCATCCATGATTTGGATTTCTTACTGACAGCAAAAGTTCAATCCTTTTTGCTGCTGTTTTTTTCATTTTATAGCTTTATCTAGATAAACTACTTGCAAGTTCTATAGTGGAATTTTAGTAATTTGGTTGAATTTTCCCCTTCTAATTCAATTGTGCATTGAATTCTGTTCAAATTCATATTTATTTCTACTGGTTTTAAGGCATTTAAAAATGTAAGGTCCTCATTTATCAGGATTTCTCTACTGATTGCATTCTTACATTGTTGTCATAATTCTCACTGGATTTGTTTGTTGTTGTTGCTCTCGCTTCTCTTTGGAAAAATGATTCTCATTGTTTGATTATGCTTGCCAGCTCATTTCTGTTTCAGGAGAAAAAAAAAATGATCCTTTGTGTTGCTGCACTTTATTACCTATGTTAGTAGTGGGAGTATACGTGTCTAGCTGTAGGTGATGGGGAGATGTACAGAAGCATATCGCTGTAGTGTCTCCCTGGACCAGCTGCCCTCAAGACTATTTTTTGCTAGAATATGCTCCATGAGAAAGACACCTATTGAAAATGTCACCTAAACTCGATTTACAACATATTTTGTGACCTCACCACAGGCACAAGAGGAAGAATTCAGACGTGGTTTGATTTCTCTCCTGCATCTTTGGAAGAGCATGATGCCTGCCTGGCACTCTTAGGAAGGTTAAAACTTGTCCTCTCCACAACAGGCATGTCTGGGGCCTCAGTTCTTGCCCTCATTTCAAACACACATACAGAGGTCAGCACAAGATTACATGAGTAAAAACTTTCTGGTGTGGACATATTTTCATGACAATAAACTAAAATGCAGTCTCTAACATTTGGCATAAGTGTCAGAAAAGAAGTTACACCAGTAATTTATTTCTTTTACTAATAATTCATCTGGCTATTGATCAAGGTTGAGTTTGGCTTCAGCTCTGCCCTTCAGCAGCTTTTTTGTAAACAGGTTTTTCTTCATGAGTCAGGGTTTGACATTCTCACTCTGTGCAATAAATTACACCTGTGTCTTCAGTACCATGCTAATGCCTGGATTTAGTGACAAAAGGAATTTGAGCTCAAATTTTTATCTTGGAAGGCTTTGCCTATTCCATTACTCAGGCTCCACATGGAAACTTCTTTCTCTCTACCCACTTTAGTGCCTTTACAGAGAGAACAGTGTGAAACAAATTCATTTCCCATCTTTGGAAATCTATGTCTTAGTCTACATTCTTAAATTTTTGGGGTTAAATTTTAATTAAATTTAAAGGTAAAATGTGGAAGGGTCATAAGATTACTCATGTAAGAAATGTATCCATAGAAGCAAATAGACTCTCTGCATTCAGGGAGATTATTAATATGAGGTGAATTTACTGAAGAAATTCTAGGATCAGGCCCATGATATGGAATTTGATTTAATTCACTCATACATAATGATTACCCACAGCTCTGAGCAGATGTAGTAATGACTACAATTACTTGCAGATCATTTTTTACTATGATTAAAT